AGTAAAGCTGAAGAAAGTCTGGATCATTTGTTCTTCTCTTGTAGTTTCTCCCAAGGGGTCTGGTCTGGTATACTAAAACAGCTTAATATTGACACTCTAAAAGTCAGCTGGCAATACTTTTTAGGGTGTTGGATGGAATGGTTAGATTCCAAATTAATAATCATTCCTTGTATTGTTGCTTGGTTCCTTTGGATGTGCATGAACTAGTTTAAATATGAAAACAGCAAACCAAAGGAGATGGATGTGGTGTTGAATTGTACTTCTTATTTGCAAAAGATAATAAAATTTCAGAATTTTGCCAATATTTTCCTGAATTGGGTGCCCAGTGTGCAGAAGATAAAAGTGTCTACTTTAGTTCTCTGGAACCCACCTTCTGAAGGGTGGTTGAAAGCCGATACAGAGCGAAGCTTTTGTAAGGAGGCTGCTGGTGTGGGTGGAATATTTAAGAACTCTCAGGGGAAGTGCATGTTATACTTTTCCTCTCCAACTTGGGTATTTGATGCACTAGAAACTGAAATGATTGCTATTTATTGGGCTATCTACCTTGGAAAGCATTGCAACATCATAAAATTGATAGTTGAGTCAGATTCCTTCAACTGTATTAGATTTCTGAATCAGGAAGAGGTTGCTCCATAGAATGTTGCTAGGTGGACTACTAAGATCCAGAGCATGTTGAGCAATGTTGAAGTGATTTTATAGCATATCTTAAGGGAAGGTAACACTTCTGCACATAGTTTGGCAGCTAGGGGTTAGCTTGGAACAAACTATGTAAACCCCTAAGTGATGGAGTTTTGTTTAGGCTTTAAAGATTTTCAGCGTCTCAGTACCATCAATCTATGCAAACTATGGATAAAGTTTAGAGCACAAGATAGTCTTTGGCCTATGTTTATGAAGGGGAAGTATTGTAGGACAGTTCATCCTACTATGGCTCAGAAGAAGATCGGTGATTCCAGGTTGTGGACTAAGCTTCTAGAGATTAGAAATAAAGCTGAGGATCTATTTATCTGGGAGCTTGGCGAAGGCCAAGTTAATTTCTGGCTTGATAATTGGGTGTGGAATGGGGAGAGACTACACAACTCCAATCCTAACTCAATGACAAAAGTGAAGGAATTCTGGATTGATAATCAGTGGAACTGCAATTTATTGAATGCAATCCTAACTAAAGAGCAAATACATTGGGTTAAGAAAATAAAAATCAATCCTAGGCAGAAAGATAGACTCATTACTAGACAGGTTTCCTCACAAAAATTATCTGCCTTCATCTACCAACAGTTATTTGAATGACAACTTGTCAAGTGGGGTAAATTGATTTGGGGGAAGGGGTTAACACCTTCCATGTCCTTTTTCTGCTGGAGGCTATGAAAATCCTTACTTCCTACTGATGACATTTTGAAGATGAAAGGGCTTAAGGGACCCTCTTGCTGTCAGTTGTGCAGTAAAGCTGAAGATAGTCTGGATCATTTGTTCTTCTCTTGTAGTTTCTCCCAAGGGGTCTGGTCTGGTAT